CTATCAGCCTCTTTTAGCCTTTTCGTCCTTTGATGCCGAAAACATCACTTGGAATGCTGGAGACCTAGAACCCTGACATGGTTTTAGAACACAAAAAAATAACAGAAATCAAATCTAAGAAGAAAATATTTTTTTCGCAATAATGTTTTTAGCACAGTATAGACACAGTATAGCACAGTATTATGCACAGTATAGAGACACTTGTAACTGAATTTTCAATGTTTGCGCCTGTATTTCTACTCCGAGTTTCGAAGACGGTGGTGCATGCTATCATATCTCCACTGTCAGCTTTGGTTTCCAAGGACAAGTGATCTGTTTTGAAGACGCAATTCGATCCTTCGCTGCTAAGCGCAAATATCCTCGCCCTCGCGATAGAGGGTGCTAAGTTTATCGGGGCGCACATGGCGTGCAGGGGCGGATCCAGAACTCCGTTGGGGGATGGCGTGCAGGAAGGGGGGGGGGGGGGGGTCGGAAAATTTGTAAGAATGCTATTCTCCCATTCTTTCTTGTGCACCGGGGGGTCCACCCTTGTCAAATTACCCCCCGAGAAGGGGGGAGGGGGGGGGGGGTCGACTCTGTTTTAGGGGGGGGGGGAGGCGGCCGCCCCCGTCGTCCCCTCCCCCCCCCCCCCCCCCCCTAGGATCCGCCCCTGATGGCGTGGGAGAAATTAAATCCTTCTTGAGTTGTTGCTCCTGGGCAATACTGGGCATCAAAGGGTTAGTCTGTTCTACCGGCATAGCAATTACGGTAAAAAGGCAAATGAAGACATAGGATGGGAAAAGGAAGGGCGAGTCGGAGAAGGCCTAGCACTTTGTTTCTCATTCTGCGTGTACCACAGGGAAGTCTACTCCTTGATATTCATAGAAATGAAGCCGTTAAACAACAATAAATGCAGTTTTTTTTCCGGCGTTTGTTGTAGTTTTTTACGTCAGCTATACAGGTTTAAAAATTTGAAGGAAGGTATTTTTTTTTTACCCTTCTGTTCGTGGCTCAATTCGGAGTGAACAGTAGTTTATTGCTGTATTTTGTCCGGGACAAAAAGGAACTTCGTAAACCAAACAGTGTTTATCTATATCTGGCTGTTGCCCAAGGGTATACTCCGTATATCCCCGGGGAAACAGCGAGTCACGAATAAAAATGCAGCAGCACAAATGCAAATGTAGGGCAACGGCCAAAGCTACTGCCCCAGTAAGCCAATAAGAGCACCTGAGCAAGGCACGTCACAATACGCACTGTGGGCGAGCACTCTTCCTAGGAGAGCTCTCGCGTACGTTTCCTCACACCGTCGGTCTGATTGTGGACTTCGAGCACACCGTCACCGTGTTCCGCGCACCGCACTATACGGAGCCCTTGAAGCATGCTTTTAAGCACGCGCCCGCGGTCGCGGTACCACCCCGACGCGCGCTTAAAAGCATGCTTCGAAGGCTACGGTAGTGCGGTACGCGGAACACGGTAACGGTGTGCTAAATGTCCCCATTGACTCACGGGAACCGATCATTGTTCGCCCTTTTAGAAGTTGTGCTGAGACGGTGCATATGAATTACGTAATTGTCAATCCTTCTGGCAACTTATCGGGCATCGCCAGTCCCGGCGCGCACCGACAATAACCATGATCTGAGAAGCAAACTATTTTAATCTACTGAGTTTTGCGGAGTTTTGGTAACCTGAAGGGTATACTCGAAGCCGGCGAATCGTCGAACATGTGTGTTGTCACGAGAGTTCTTGGTAAAATATTGTGTTTGAGTGTAGAGGGTCCCTATAGGCTTCGGGGCCCCCCAAGCAGCATAAGTCGTAGCACTGCATATGCGCAATGCAATAAAAAAAAGAAACAAAGAAAAAAAGGGCCAGTTTTTTTGGAATTAAGAATTCACTTTGACGCCGTATTTCAGTGATTACACTTATCTCCGAAATTCGGAGGTATAATTTCCTCTCCGTTTAACGAGTTCCTCCCGTGGTTCCCATGACAACCGCGGTCGTTTAGAAGCGGAAAGCGTTCGTTCTGGCTTTTAAAGAGTTTAGCGTTCCGTTCCAAAACTTACCCAGAGAAGAAAATGCAACCGCCGCAAAAATTCAGTTCCGGTGGTGCATGCTTTAGGCTCGGGACATTCGAGGATGTAAATTTCAGATTAATTTCGCGCCGTAAACGATCAACTAAGTGCTTGACTTTGTCAGGGAATGCCGGGGTTCTAAAAACGCTTTGGCTGGAAAAGTTAGACCCAACTAATGTTTCTTTTTTTTTTTTTTTTTAAGTGGAATGGGCAGGGTTTTGATTTACTGGACGGGCACTGTATATCACAGTCATTGGCTGTCAGTTTAGTATTGCGTATGAGACATAGACCAGTGCCATCAGTTAAATGCCTGGCGTAAAAAATGCATGTTTTTTTAGCTTTTTGTTAGTAATAATTAAGAAGAAAAGAGCGCGCGAAAGCGACCTGACACGTCCCTCTTTCCATTTTATAGATGAAAAACAATTCAAGAAAGTGAGTTAATGACTCCAAAAAAGATTTTAAAAAAAAGCGCAAGAAAAAAGGCAGGGTGTAAAAAGTTGGGATCTGGGGCCTTGTGTTACTTGAAGAACTTCTGTACATCTCGGAGCCGGTTCTTTTCGCGGTTTGACCGTTGTATGTAAACGTAAACTAAAAGGCGTAGTTTACATCCATCGCCATATTTACGGCGCTCATATTCGAATTACTGATAAGCCGAAAACAAACAAAAAAAGCAAGAAAAGCGACATCTGCGTGCTGCTGATTCTAACCGTCGTATATAACTAATCAACGTGAAAGCCGATATCGGAAGAAGCGTTAGAGCGCAGGAAAATTGCCAGGGACTGCAACGTATAGACAAAGACACCGCGGGCCCCCGTCTGTAGGTAAACACCGCAATGCTCTTCTGTTCTCCGTTCCCGTTTAGTGGAGCGTGTCTGGTCTGGCAACGTTCCGTTCTTTTTTCCAGCCGTCCCCGTACAAGAAGGAACAAACACGGGAGCGCAAGCTCTTGATTGTTGCGTGAATCGGCTCGCTTTTTCTGCGGTTCAAAAACGCGACTGCTGGTCCCGCGCGGTGCGGTTCAAGGCAGCTGTTTTCTCTCGCGCGGGTCTTTTTTTTCTTTCTTTTTTTTCTCCTTGTATATTTTTTGCTTCTGTCTGACGCCTGTCGTCCTTGTGGAGCTTTAATATCTGTCCCCGATCGTGGCTGCAGCGCTGCGGCGAACTACTTTCTCCCAGTCCCGTCGTCGGGCAATAAATGTTTTCCCTTCGTTTCAAGGTAGGCTCGCTCTTTCTCCCTCTCACACATTCTCTCTCTCTCTCTGTCTCTCTCTCTCTCTCTCTCTCAAAAAAACAAAAATAATAACGATGTTCGCCGATTAGGAAACGGGTCGCTCGCATTTATGCGCTCGCCTATCTTTTTTTTTTTTTTTTCGTGGATGCAGTGTATTGTTTTTCTTTAAAGCCTGAAGGTAAGGATGGAGTATCCGAAAGCTGAAGAGAGCCATTTTCTGTAGGGTTTGCTTACGTTGCGTTGTGCTACGAAGGGTTACGTCTGCTTCCGTCCAGAATCACCAGGACATCCGTGCTTTCTACACTCTCAGAAATTGGGGGTGTAGTACTTACACCCCTTGTCCCGTATTTAACACCCCCAAATTACATATCGACGTTCAGTTCACTGTCGTCGAAATGACTATACCAACTTCTACGAGCGGGTTGATAACTCTGTAATATAAATTTCTAAATAACTAATGCATGCATAATAATAATAAAAAAAACAAAAAAACCTGGGGTTTTGCAGCAGGGCCAAAAAAAGCCTCGACTGTATTCCTGTGCTCTTTAATACGTATACATGAAATATTTTATTAAGTTGTATCACTGGACTATCAACCCGCTCGTGAAAGTTGGTACCGTCGGGTCGACGTCAATGGACTGAACGTCGAATTGTAGTTTTTGGGGTCGAGGGATACAGGTACTACAGCCACTATTTCTAAGGGGGCGCAAAAAATGGCAACCCAATTCGAGGAGTGCCAATGCACGAGACATCCGAATCAAGTATTTTGACCGTGACTCATAATCTAACCTAATTATTCGATGAGGAAACGTGTTTCAGAAAAGCAAGGCCGGAGTGCCAAGTCTGTATACATGCCATCCTGTTATGTGGGCCTGCCGATCTTCTAGGAACTGTAATGTGTCTTCCTGGGTACCTACGGCCGTGTTTATGATACGTGGATGTTGCGGAAACGTAGGACGTGAAGTTCCGAAATATTGCAGTTCCTTGCAAATCTCCGCTGTAGTTGACGATGTTTTCTGCGTTGTTGTGAAGACGGCAGAAAGGCTGGTGCTTTCGGCGAAGGTCTAAACAGTCGTCCACAACGTATGCATGGAGAGGGCTAGACTAACATCTTTCCTGAAAGCATGTATAGTTTTCCTACTTGGTACTGCAAACCGGTTCTTCGTCAACAAGGACACAAAAGAGTCGGCGTTCCCCTTTAGCGTCCTTACGTAAGGCATTGCGGAGAGAAGCGGTGCATTGTAATTTGTAAGTTCGCTAGACAATATCGCGGAGTGCTCGGAAGCAGCCGTTGCGCAAGTTTCAAACTTGAGTGAATTCCCCGTATAAAAAATAAACAGTCAGGATTGTAGCCTGAATTTCGCGTGGAGCACGATGAAAACCTGGGAATTAAGAAAGGACCGCCCACACTTTGCCCTACCACGATCACGATGATTGCCAAAGTACTAATACTATACTAATTTTAGGTTAAATATCAGTATCTCTTATATAAACTGCCCAAACAATTCACCTTCAGTCAGGTTGTAGTTGACGACCAGCCGTAGACTATCGGGCGCGTGTACTTTTGCGGCTTAGATTTAAATCTCGGAACCGAAGCTAGGGTATCTGAACGCTGATCTCATGTGTAGATTAAAGCTAAAAATAATAAAAAGGAAAGTAAAATGAAAGACGGTTTGCGGGGGAAAAAGAAAACGCGAGAAGGCATCGGAAAACCAGACTGACCTTGTTTATGTCGAGTAGCACAAGTGTAGCACCTAGCGAAGCGCACTTGAGAGCAATCTCCCGTCCCAAGCCGTGGCCTGCACCGGTGACGAGCACAATGTTGTCCCGAATGGACTTCCTGGGCCCGGGAAAGGCGAGACGTGCCACGTAGACCAACACGGACACGATGCAGCGTCCCACGAGGCAGAGCAGCTCGCAGATGAACATGACCGTGGGTAACACTTCCATGTCGTCGTCACTGACGGGGTGTGATCGCTGTGCTTCGGTGCGCGGAGAGCGAGCAAGTTTTCTCCCGGGGCTGGTCTAGGAGCTGAGGCGGCTCCCACGCTCTCTCGGGTCGGCAGGGGAGGCAAGCAAACAGCCGGAGCCGGCGACCCTCACCTACACTCGCCTGCCCCGCCAGACCGTTCAAAGCGGGCGCTCGACGCGGCGTCCTGCGGCACACGGCCGAACTTGCTGAATCGGGAAAAGGGGTAGCCAATGGCTGGTTTGGCCGAGTTTGAGGTGATTTCCGGATTTGTCCGGTTTTGTGCGGATCCCAATTGCTTCAAAAATCGCGCGCTGCTTTTTTTTTTTTTTTTTTTTTTTTTGGGGGGGGGGGGATGGGGGGGGGGATGTGGGGGGGGGGGGGTGTTACGGATACGTATTATATTGTTTTATTGTTTATATTCCAAGCGATTCCTTCGATTCCGCTGTGCATAATATAGATGCCGGCATGGGTGCGTATGTTTTTTCCTGCGATGTAAAATGTCCAGCTAAACGCAGCTGCGAACTGAACATGGTCTTCCGCGTTGAATCAGTGAGCGTTCGCCTTGCGCCTGTAACATTTTGTCGCGCTCCCACGTTGATAAAATGCGTGCCCTCCGACATTGCCGTTGCACGATTCTTCCTATAGCCTTTACTAAAGTAACTGGATTCCAGCTTTAACTTGTACAAAGAAAGGCAGTTAGGTTTGTATTTAGTAAATACAATAAATTGGACTCGCTCACTGAACTTATGAGGGATAACCAAATGCCACCTCTCGATACACGTCGGAAAAGGAGTTGTACTTTATTTCTTTACAACATCCTGACATCCAAAGTATGCTTAAATACACTCCCATATCTCAATCAATTAAGTTCAAGAAGAACACGACACACCAGGGACCACGCACTACAGCCCATCTTCGCAAAAACAAATGCCTTTAAGCACAGTTTTTTTCCTCGCACCATTTCGGACTGGAACTTGCTACCAGAAACCATTATTCGATCAGTCATTTTCATTCAGGCATTAGAACGATACTTAATTCGATAATGCATTCCGCAGCAGTGGTCTTGTCTTCTTTTGTATTATTGTTTTTGTCATTTTTCATGTGAACCCACATGTTGTATTTTTTGCCCCTCCTGCTTGGGCCAGAGAGCTGACCTGCAGTATTGTAAAATAAATAAATAAATGAATAAATAAAGTAGCGCCAAGCTCCCCGTATGGTCGCCATTTTGGTCCGTGAAATGAGCAATTTCTCTTTGACCCCTCCGCTCTTGGTGAGCCGATCTAAATTCGCTGGTGACGGGTAGCTTGATGGATACCTTTCTTGCATACCGAGATTTTGCTATTCACACACAGGCGAAACAAGCGTATATTTCCGTATCACCACCACACGTGGTGTCGGTGCTTGGAAGCATTGAAAAATAATTTTCCTGCTTTGAAATACGGAAGAAGGACTGCACTTTAAGAAATGCCTGCGCGTCTAGCTACTTAACCACAAAACACTCGAAGAGCCAATCTCTGCGATCTACGAAATCAGCTCAGCGAATGTCAAGGCGAAACGTCTGTTTAGACCTCAAAATGAAGTCTGCGCTGTGGCATTACGCAATGCAAGCATGACGCTCTGCATTGCGTAATGCCGCAGAACAGACTTCATTTTTAGGTCTAAACGGATGTTCCGTCTCATCATTCGCTGAGCTGATACCGTAGATCGCAGAGATTGGCTCTTTGGGTGTTTCGCGGGAAAGTGGACGCACAGGCATTCTTTAGGGTGTGTAGACTGGCATGATTGGTACATTGATTGCAAACACAGCGTTAAAGACGCTTATATTGGCGAGGCACACCTTCAGTGCGATGATGCTCTATGGTGATCTGGGTATTAGAACGACCCTCTGGAAGCTTCGAAGATTTGAATGGACCAAGATGGCGATTACCATGGTAATCGCCATCTCGGTCCATTCATCTCGGTCCATGGCGATTTCCATGGTAATCGCCATGGGTATATCGCCATGGGTATATCGGTTTCCGTTGCTTTGCATACCAGCGGAGACCGATATACCCGTTTCCCGGTGTGATTTATGCCTTACAGTTTAAAATGTCAGTGTACATTTTTTTTTTCATTAGCCAATCCCCTTGCGAGGTTTTGGTCGTCTGTGTGTTAGTATCTGTTTGTGTTCCGCTTGCAGGCAGGGAAGGCGATGACACTACTTTCACAGGATCTGGTGACTTTAGTTTCCAACAACCCAGATTGCTTCGTAGGACTCGTTGGTCCGCGATGCTTGTGCGATCAACGCCATGACTATGGATACGTCGCAGCTGAGCTACAAGGGCAGTTGGCGCTCAACCACGATCCATTTTGTCCGAGAGATTGAGACAGAAGGAAAAAGAAAGAAAGAGAGAGAGATAAAATAAATGCATGCTGGGGAAAATTGTGATTCTGCTTTTCCTTTTGCTTCGGTTCTTTCTCGTTCCGAAGAACGGAGCGAACTGAGGAGGCTTTACGTATTGGCAATCTCAGAGACCATGTCACGCGGATCACAGTTGCACTCTACACCTTAGAGTCAACGATAAGAGAATCCGCGTCATATGTTTTCGTTTTTGGCGTCTGTCGGTTTCCCTGAGTTACCCTCACCAAAAGCATATTCTACATTCAAATACCTACTTACTTTAGTGAATTTATGTCGCGCCCTTTTAAGATTGTGACCTGCGGGCAGTTCACTGTTTATACGACATTTATGAGTGCGTATAGCAGAAAGTTGGAACGTCGGCAGATGGTGCGCACCTGCTCTGGCCCTTGCTGCGTACGACCCGGAACTCAGAACCGGTGCCGTAGTTATTGCTTTCTGCTCCGTTCTCTTCTTTTCCCGCACGCAAACAGAGACGAATGGAGCGGAGTAAACGCTTAAACAATTCTGACATAAAAAAAAAAAAGAGATGTATGCGCTGAATGGGACTTAAAAAGAAAAGAAAACACGATATGCGTTGGTTTAGCACGTTTATGGTGGCTTCAGGCTTTTTAAAGTGCAGACAAGCTGCGACTTCTCACGAATGCTGTATACAGCTGGTCCCTATATCATTGCTTCCAGCGTTTACCGTATGTACTCGACTAATAGACGCACGGAAACCTGAGGGTTCGCTTTTCCGCGGAGCACTCGGATTGCCAATCACCGCGATCGACAGCATGATTCCAGCGGTTTACAGGACAGGGATAACGTCTTGGCGCGAAGATGCCATCTGTGAAGATTGCATTTGTATGGAGAATCGTGTTCTCGATCTAATTATTCGCTATGCTATTTATGCGGAACGCGATGATTGGCTGCATATGCGCTTTTCGGGAAAGTAGAAGAAAGGGCCTTGTTCATAAATAGTGCGGCTATTACTCAAGTAAATACGGTAGATCCCAAATCAACATTCAGCAGATTGCTCACCAGGAAAACAGTCGCTCTCCGCTTTCAAATTGTTGGTCAGTTCAAAAACAAAGAAATGAAACACGAAAATAAGATCCAGTTGAAACGTGAATAGTAAAGAAAAATTGAACCGAAACAAAATATTTACTCAAGCATGGACAGGATGCCGACGACGGACAGAACCAACCAACCAGAGTTTTACTCGCGGAACAAACGGTTTTGACTTAGATGAACCTTTACGCGGCAGTCCATTTGTGTGAAGCCGCTTCTTCCCTGTACGAACGTCACATCGGTCATGCAAAAACTGCCTGCAGACGGGTTCCAAGCACACATATATGTACAAAGCAGACAGGCTTGGAAGCCCACTTGAGGCGTGTTCACATATAATTTTGTCACTGTACCGAACACCGTGATTTAGGATGTAAGAACAGCCTACTGCGCCCTTGATGATTTACCGCGTGACGATCGTTAATGACCCCATGTTCTCGGTCATGTGACGGCAACTTTTCCCAAGTTTTGATTCTAGAGTCACTGATAACTTATGAAATGCCAGGGCGCGCCTCACTACGTTCAACCCTCTTTGCTTCGTGATAAGCGGCGTTCTTTTTGGGGAAAGCTGCGCGCTGACTGGCTGCGGAGGGCTAACATGGCGGTCGATACTCTGCACCCCCGGCGCTTGTCAGTGACTATAGTAGTCGCCATAGTTTGCGAGAGACTAATTTCCGCGTGAGCATCGAAAAATTTTTTCCCTGGAATGTTTTATTCGTGCATTTGTTAATTGTTTGTTAACCCGTTCCACGTTCCCCATGACGTTGCCGATGTTGTTGCGTCAGCGGCATCGTCTGGCGACCACGCTCACTCCGCCGTTGTGGTCATTATATATACATAATGAACGTATGACAGTGTGTCGACTCCGTGTTTGATAGAGAGTTTCGGGATAGATGTCCCCGACGCTTATGGTCGCCCAAGTAGCTTGTTGCATCGTACTGCGTATGCGCAGAAGGTATATGCGCGTGTTATGCGTGACACCCACAAAAGTGCTTCGGAGACTCCTATAAGCTTTGGGGTCCTCCTGTACGACCACTGTGGCGTTTATTCGGTGGGCGCAGCAGTCTCGGTACTCCGAGGTGTTGGCTTGAAATTGCAATGGCTGTGTTGTTCCTTCCCTGTGATTGACGTCTTCCAGTTCACAAGAGGTGGCAGGTGCTTGCCATAGAGCGCCGCGAGTCAGGCTTATCCTTGGCCGCTCACAGTTCGGCGAACTGGGCGTGGAACCAATGGATCCTTCTGCCGCCGCACGTGTTGGTGACCCCGATAATAGGTACTGCGGATTAGACGGGAGGCCGAAAGCTGCATGCCTCGGGCTGGGATTGGCGGAATGGAGGCTGTCGGCTAGAGGGACGATAGGGACGGGCCAGTGCTAAATTAACTGCTTTTGTCCGAAGAAGCCGAGAAAATGAAGGACACAGCAAGCGAAGTAGTTTCTTCTGGAATTCGAAATCATTTGTACCATGCACGTAGGTACCTCCAGGCCATCCCATAGTGGTCTGAAGAGAAAATATAACTTTCTTCTTTTTTTTTTTGTCATCTTATAAAACGTTTTGTCTGTCTTCAACACCACTGCGTCAGCTTCTCCACGAGCTATACTTGGGGAGAAGTTGCCATTGCTGCTCCAAAAAAGCAACGGATCAAGGGCTTTATTGGCCACCTACTGATAAGGCATGTGTACAACGCGCCTCACATTAAATCACCCCCCACATATAATACCGACTG